TCGACTTTTCACAGCTTTTCCTCGCAATATTCTTCACCGAATCCCTGAACTTCGTAACCTCACTTTCGCTGGTTCACTTAATGGAGAATTTGCACGAGAAAATTTCAATACTGCATACACATATGGTATTACTGGGTGAGCCACAATTACAGGGTTTTTTTTTCCTTTTAAATTTTACTCGATTGTGAGAATTTGTAGAAAAATATACAGAGTGATCCAGAGTTAAACGGCCAGACTACAGGAGCCAAAACACTCCTAACCCTCCTCATTAAATTGAGATTTCAATTTTTTAAGATCATTCATGAATTCAGAGCATAACAGTACAGGAAAACAAAAATTTTCGTGAGATTTGACTCACAACCGTTGCCAAAATTCAGAAAAAACTATTTACTCTCCGAAATTTTGGCGGAGCCGTAGCTCCGGCTGAAGGTACTTTAAGAAAAAACTTTATGCTAGAAAAAATTATTATTTTTACCCATAGAACACGCTTCTGCAGTCTGCCCGTTTCACCCTGGATCACCCTGTATTTATGTTTCAGAAAATGAATCGCCTTCTAATGGCACTCTATAAAGAGAGTAAGTTCTGCTCGGCACTAATATTTTTGCACTCAGCGCAATTAAAATTTTAAAAAACGCGCTCTATTCCCGGCGAAAAAGCCCATATTTTATACGATTGATGTAAGATCTCACTCATTGCGATAAATGAGTGATGACCGCGGCGATTTTCTGACTGCGATGCGTGCGGGAGATGGGGGAAATCTAGGCTTACACGCAATCAATTGCCTAAGTAATCATGTGGTAATCATTCCAAAACTGCCTCGAGTCTCGTAATAATTATGTGCAGTCGTGCGGTCCGCTATGACGCATTTAAAACTTATCACTCGTACTTAAATGCCTCATGTAGATGACCGACAGCTGCAGATATATGGATGCAGTAATTTCAGGTGATCTCAACGGCACATACTGTTCTAAGGTCACTCTACTTATTCCCATCCGCAACGTAAAACTGCCCCAAGAAAAAGAATATATGATCCTTTGGCTCTTCGCTATACTTCGCATAGGCTCCCATTATATCATATGGAAAAATATGCATAAAACAAGAGGAAAAGCTAGATTCTGGACCCAATTATTATAAATCAGCACTACCACAATTAACCCAGAAATATGTAACTTAATTGTATTGATCTTGATTTTGACATAGATAAGACTGTGATTGATGGGTAGTCATGATACGAACTGAGTTATGCGTTTGGAAAACCTAAATAATCATTTCCTCGTGGGCACAGAAGTAAAACCCATCCTGCAAATGGACTGCATTTTGCAATTTGGAACTATAAATTCTGGCTCTTCTGGAAAAACACTTATGTGCATAGGAAAACTAATGGCACATACGTTGTTTTTAATCCGTGCTAGAATTTATAGTTCCAAATTGCAAAATGCAGTCCAAATAATACTGTCTCAATATTGCTTAACATCCCCCAGGTCTAAGCAATGTTGATAGGGAATGGTGTAGCAGTGTTGAGGCAGCGTTGCTGGGGTAGAAAGCAATATTGCCAGCAGACATTACATCAATATCCATTAGAAATGTAGCCCGACGATATTAACAGGTATTGGACTACATTCTTCAATTAGGAACTAAAATTTCTGGCTCACTTTAAAAAACAACGTACAACCCATTACTTTCCCTATGCACACAAGTGTTTTTACAGAAAAGCTAGAATTGTATTTCCTAGTTGCGAAATGTTGTCAAATTCTGTCAAAGGACACTGCTGTGCCAATACTACCGTACCCAGGATAAACTCCGTATGAGCTTTCAGACGTTGCCAAATTTGCTCTATCAAAATACGAAGTTTTCAGGGAAACCTTTGTCCTACAAATATTTTTTCTTGAATTTTCAGAAAATGTTATTCGTGGTCAGTTCTGAATTATATGCTAATTTCGAGAAAAAACATTGATAACTTTCCTCAGAAATAAACATTTTATTGGAGAAAATTTGACAACTCTCAAATGTTCATACGGTGGTTGTCCATAGCACGGCAAAATATATCCTGGATATCCCTTAAGTAACGTTGCCTCACGGTTGTCTCGAAGTTAAAAGAGCAGTGCTGCCTGGCAATATCCCCTGCAATATTACCCCTGCCCCATTGCAAGGTGGGATGGCGTAAACTATTCGAGTAAAGGCAGACATTGAGTGCACATTCGCACTATGTTGACGAACTCAGTGACCGAAAACGCACCATAGGTGCGGATGGCAAAGACTTTTTTCCACGGTATAGACAATTACGAAAATAAACAGTTGGACGAGTTAAAATAAATCGATAAGATAAAAATAACGCCGACTGGGTGTAAACAAAACGAGAACCTCGCGATAACCTCATCGCGCAAAAATGCTCATCTCAAATCGCCGAGAGAAGCTGAGGCAACGTCCGATACGATACGTCAATGAGACTAAAGTCATATGGGCCGAAAAGGTCAAAGCCGAGAGCACTTTGAGAGTAAAAAAGGGAAAATCGCAGGCTCTGCAAGTGCCTAAAAGTCAGGACGATGTATTTTTGGTGCTCTTATGTTAGAATGACTACTTTTTTAAATTTAAATTGAATTAGAAATTAGAACTGGTTTAATTTTATACAGGAGCCTTTTAAAGGCTGGGTACACGTCATGTTTACATTGTAAAGAAATATAGTATTTACATTGCATATAACTTAATTGGAAGTGAAGAAAAGTATAATAATAAAAAGTAGTCATATCACAAAAGAGGTTTGATTGTCTGACATTTAAGGGTAAATTGACAGATTGTTTTGTAAATTCTTTAATTATATATCTAGGACAGCTTAAAAGTGCCTCATTGAGAGTAATGCTAAATTTTTTCGATCCCTCATTTTTCAAAAATAACCTTAGGGCCTCTAGAAGATTTTTAGAGAGGCTTAAGGCAATTTTTTTCACGAAAAATTTATCTTTTTTCATTACAAGACTGTTCTTTCTGTGAAATTGTGCCTTGTTTCATGTTGGTGACTTGGAAATATGCCCTCTCGACTTAAATGTACCTTTTTTAATTCTATCTGAATTAAAGTAAAACATGCCATCCTTGATATATCTATATCTTGCTCTCATTTTGACTTCCTTTTCTTCTAAAAAAAGAAAACAAAACCGAAATTTTAATGTTTGAAGCACCACGAAGAGGAAGGTCTTTTTGGAGGGTGTGTGTTTTTTGTTATTTAATGGCGGGAAAAAAATTGAGAGAAACTGCCGGTGGCATCCGAAAGTGAAGTAATTGAGCAGCATCTGAGGTAAAACACCTTGAAGATAATTTTCTTCGCTCATAGGTTTTGAATGAAGTAATTTTCTTCCGTTTAAAACATCGACTACTTGAGAAATTATCAATGCTTCGATAGATAATATTTAGATGCTTTTAATTAATTGATCAGGCATTAACTAATATTACGACATCGCTGGTATTTCCTAGCTTGATATTTGTTTTGGTCTAAGATGCAAAACGTAAACAGTTATAAAAATTAGAGGTGATGATATAAATAATTCTAAGACCGAGACTAATTCATTAACTTTGTGGATAGACAGTCGGACTATGTAAGCCCTCACTTGATTTTTTTCAGACCAGTAGGTGTGCATTTTTATTTACCTGCTCCGTCTTTTCACAAGATATATTTTTGTCTTACTATTCATTTTTCTATTCCTTTTAAAATGCGCTCTCGCAAGGACAAATGTATTTAGGACCTCATTGCTGGCGTAGGTACGTTTCGGTAATAATTTTAACAGAGTGCGAGTGCTTTATCCTGGGAGAGACAAAGAAAAAATGCAATACCTTGTCAATTATTAAATACACTTTTGATCCCTAAGAATGCGGAGAAAAGCGGTTTACCCTAACTAACTAGCCCCGGAGGACTTATTTTAATTCAAATTCACATTTTTGTAACATCATTGTTATTTTTAAGTAAACTGCTGATGATACACTTGAGCTTGGAAACCATAGTGTGCTACTTCGATACTTTTATAGATAAAACTATTCCTTTCGTCGAGGTAGAAATTTAGAGAAACACGTGACAGTCCGTGCTAGCTACAGGTTGGTCCGATGGGTCATGCGCTTCGGAATACACCCCCAATACACCCCCTCCCATCATCCTCAAAAAATACATTATCTTAACCGGGAAAACCTTTCTTTTTCATGTCAACGCAAAAAAGCACCGTCTATCGTTTGATTTCCATTCGAAAGAAATTAAGAAGATACAATTGTTTTCTTACAGCAAAATGATAATATTTAGACGTGTATTTTGCATTCTAGCCATTTCTATATGTCTCTAAAATTCTAATACTTTTGAATTATTATTCGTTTTGAAATTGCGCGACTCTTCTTCTTAAATATACTGACTTTAAGGAGAAAGTTATGGAAAATATAAGTTTTAGTCCAAGTTTATTAGGTGGAAATGGGCGAAAATAAAAAATAGTTTTTTTATTGTTATTGTTATTCTTGTAAGGGTATTTACGTTACAAATAACTATTTTTAAGAGTAAATTACGTTATTTTTGGTAAATTCATTACGTGGCGGCTTTCGACGCAAAAATAGTGAATGGAACGAGCACCAAATAATATCGTTGTAAAAAATGTATTTTTTTCTTTATTTTAGATACCTAAAGTTATTGCAATGAACTATTTTTAAGAGTAAATGACATTACTTTTAGTAAATATTCATTACGTGGAAGTTTCGGCGCAAAAATGGTAAGCGGAGAGAGCACTTAGCAATCTCGATGCAAAACATCGACGATAACATGGCAATAATTGTCAGGAAACCAAGATTATTGACTTGAAAACCTAGTCGTTCGAGTGAAACCGAGAGTGTGGCGCCGCTAATTCGGCGTACGAAATTGATCTACGTGCGACTAGCGGGCAGGAAGGAACATTTCCCGGCGTCCGGTTTTTCCAGCTTGTCGTCAGCTTTCCCCGGCGAGTTTTCCGGGGACGGAAGCGTAAAAGCGGGTGGGTGCTTACCTTGTTGAGGCGTGAGTCCCGCATGTGGTCGATGCCGCGGATGAGGTTGGGGGCCAGGGTGGAGCCGGAGGTGGAGGGGCCCTGGCCGAGGGCCCACTGTCCGAGACGGTCGGAGTTGGAAGACATGGTTCCGCGGACACTGAGAACAGACTGAGCCGACAGAGCCGGTCGCGGAGTTACGGCCGCGCTGAGGGTGAGCCGCGCCTTCCGAGTCGCCGTGTCGAGCTCCCGCTCTTGCAGCTTACATGACCTGCGCAAACCAAAGCAAACCACTTCCTCACTCACCGCGTCCGTCCTCGAAACGCGAGCGTGTGCCTCTGCTCCGTCACGCCGGCTAGAAGCGTGGACGCCTGCGTCACGCGGGAACACGCTCACGCCCACACATTCGCTCACCGAAAAAAAGAAGTTGATTTACATTCTAGATGTAAAAAAAGTGTGCGGGAACTTATTAAATGCGGAATTTCCCGCCACAGCAGTTAGTTTACCGTATTGGCATTGTTAAAATATCTAATGTAATGGGTAATTTAGCATTTTATAAGTTCTCGCACACTTTTTGGCACCTAGAATGTAAATCAACTTCACTTTTAACAGGTGTTTGGTTCCGAAAAATCGGATTTTTCAGGGATTTTGAACATCAAATTTTTCACACTTCTTAGGGATTTTGAACATAGCATTCTCTGGCTTCACTAACTTTTCAAAGTTTTTTTTGGCATGATCCTCTTGAAAACTATTTTTTTAAAAAAAACTACTAAAAGCGAGAGGTCTTTTGGAATTGAAAAAAAGGGTTCCACGGTGAAATTCCTTGGCTTTTCCAGGTTATGCCTGACTTTTCAAAAATGTGTCGCCTTGTTGGATGCGTTGTAAAAGTCGACAAAGAGGGCTCTGTCAAGAAAAGCTATCTGCTTTATTAATTAAATTAAGTTTCATCGGATTTTAAAACGTAAGTACATGTTCAAAGCTTCAGGATTTCCTCCGTTGGATATAAAAATGATTCCTGCACACCCCTTTAAAGTTTGAAATCAGGAATAACTTTTCAAAATAGTTCAACGATGAGCCTATCGGCTTCTCAAGCTTACACTGGTAAAAATTGGCAGTAGAATCTGTGTTCCAAAATACCATAGACCTACAGTCGGCTGTAAGGTTTCCAATAGCTTCTATAGCCGGCAACACAATATCTTATAGCCTTTTATAGCCAATGGCGACTAAGCAACAGCCTGGCGATAAAGTGTATGCTGAACGTTACTAATTACGGATGCTAGGACTTAGTGAGTTTTTAGACTACCGCTCTCTTTTTTGGCCACAGTATCTTGATTTAATTTGCGAGGAAAGCTCCGTACTTTTGAAGGATGCCTGCCATTCCTAATATGTTGGAGCGCCTTCAATTTCGTATGATACTGTGCAATACCTCTGGTGTGAAACAGTTGGTTCAAGCGCCGCGGTACGCTGCGGCGCACGGTGGATCGAGTCAATGGGAGGGGTCGGTCATCGCGCATCACGCGTCTTATTTTCTCTGATTACGGAGATTTCCCACCCTTAGAATAGAGCAAATTACACTCATCAAATGTATTTTTCGTCGTAGATTCCATTTTTGATCATTTTTCGGCCGAATAACAAGTTTTAATACGAGTTTTACACAATTTTTCATGACTATTGAAATTGGGATCCTTAATAGCTGTTTTTTCACGTTACTTTTGGCGAATGGGACCGTAAGCATCTTACATAAAGAATAATTTTGCAGAACTTGACTCAAGGAAATTACTTGAGGAGTGAGGGAGGGCGGCTTTACAGCCCCCTCACCACGAAGGTTGCCATATTTCTTTCAATTTCTGATAAAATCGTTTTTTGTTCATGTTAATTGGTTTCTCGCAATTGCATACTGACACAAATACGGAACATTCTGATAATGTTCATTTTTCTTCTCTTTTCCTCCAGCCAGTCAATAGACGTTTTCATTTTTATGAACTCTCTACTCTTTCATAGTTATTTAACAAATATGCATATTTCAAAAAATAGATCAATATATTAAAGAAATAAAAAAGAGATGTATATACTGTAGCTTCTTTTAATCGAGTCATCCTAGAAGATTATTATAGGTACTTATCACCAGATAAAAAAATTGAATGTGCAGAGAAAAAAAAAAAATTATATCATCTTCCATTATTTCGTTTCGTTCCTCGATGTTTGGAGTGAAGTTTGAAACATATTTATTGAATAAATATTAAAATAGGAGGAAATTTATTTTTCATGCAAGTTCTGATCCCTTGAAGAACCTCTGAGAAGGACTATTGTCTCTTGAAGAAATTTCTTGTATTT